ATCTAGCTATGTTGGAAGTTAATCTGACAGCAGGAAGATCACTAGGATCTAACTGACAGTTCGGTGACAGCTACCTATCAGCAGGTGGACTGATAAGCCTGTTCTAACCGGTTGTGGCTGGCACTGGACAGTGTGCAGTCACCATGACTCAGCTTGTTGCTGATTGGTACTGCTATGTATATAAGTCTGTACAGAAGCCATGTACGTTCTCTTCGGAGGTAACAAGCGTCTGGCGAAGCACTTTGATTGTATATTCTGTGAATAAACCCTTGTATATAGTGTACCACTGGACTGTGCAGTGTGGTTACTATAGAGGGGCAGAACAGCAAAGAACTGGTAAGAGCTGGGAGGCTGGAAAGTCTGCTAAGGTGCTGCCTTGGCTTAGACTGGTCTGTGGACCACTACACACGCTCTGCGCAACAAGCTAAGGATGGCTTCCAAAGTTCATGGGTAAAATTAGTTGATGATAGACTACAGAGAATGGGCTTTTCCCCGGAGCTCTTTAATCAAATGGAATATCCTTCTGCACGTAAACTGATCAAATCCAGTATATTACATTTTGATAAATGTACTGACTGCAGAGCTTGAAGGGTATATTCCCTGTATTATCTGGGTCTGTCAATTCCAAAGACTTGACCTGCCTATTGTAAGTTTCTAATGGTCTCCAAATATCTATATATCTAATACTGAAGTGGCCCCGTGCGTGCGGATATCTAAATTTTGTGCACACGTGGGGCGATCCCCACGTGTGCACAAAAATTGAAAAACTTTGAAAACATATCGGGGGGATATTTAAATCCCCCCAAAAGTTACAGAGCATTCCCTGCGCATGTGCAGGGAACGCTCTGTGAAGGCCGCCGCCGCCGCCAAACCGGAACTGAGGAACTGAAGTCAGCTGCGAAGCCTAATGGGAGATCTTGGGCCAGTCAATCTCTTGGGTTAGCTTAGCTCACAGGGCTGTTGTGATGACATATGCAGACCCCCACCGGGGTAAAATAACCAGCGCAGCTTCAGGCGCTTCAGGCGCTGCGAAAACTGTGTTTTCACGAGCTCCACCCACCTGCAGGGGCTGCGGCTGCATTAAATGCCGACGTGTTGGAAATGCATTTGCACCAGGGCTCAGCCACCCTTCTGCGTGTTCTGGGGAAGAACAGCGACAGCGAGTGGTAAAGGGGACGCATCTTATGCATGGTCCTACAACACAAGAGATATACAAGGGATGCACGAAACCCCCGGGTCTCAGCCGAACCGCCTCTTCCTTGCACACGTCTCAAAAGGTCACGGAAATGCCCCCTCACAGCTACCGTCGGTCGCCATGATTGATTTGGCAGTAAATGCTTCGCCGTCCCCTAATCTCATCTGCATCAAGCCCTTACAAGTGATGGCAGCGGCGACGCGTCTTTCTCGCCCATCCTTCGCATGCGCAGAATACTCCCTCCTCCGCCAAAGTGGTTGCTGGGAGGCAAATTTATAAATTAACCCGCCCGCCTCCGCTTTTTGTGCCCCGTCGTTAGAAAGAGATTCTCCTCAGGGCTGTTGTCGCCGATGGAAGTGGCGCGGAATCAGGTGAAGGGTGGATTGCAGTTTCTGGGGAGGAGAGGTGACGTGTTATGCCCTTGAATTGAGTAACGATGCGAATTGTGAAAAATAAATACGTGAGACATAGAGTATTTTGGCTGGGAGAGAGCAGCGGCTGGGCTGGGCCCTTTCAGACTGCAGGAAGGGGCGGGGTGTAGTGTGGAGTGGGGCCCTTCTCTGGACAAAACCCGCGTCGAAACTGCTTGAGGAACCGGCGAGGCTAAATCCGGCCCTCACTTCGGAGCCGGGGGGGAGGAGAAAAAGCCCACCCCCACCCCGCGAGTATCGCGGGTCCCCCCTTGTAGAATATTATTCTCCAAGGCAAGACTAAATGTCATACTATTAGGGGAACTAGTAGGCAGGTTCTCAGGAATCTCTTTCTCTGAGTGGCTTTGTGATTGTAAATCCAGGGATTTAGATACCATCTTGCACTTCTTTTTTGATTGTAACAAATATACTTTGGCCCGTGATAAATGGATTACAATTTATATCCAAAAATTGAGTTTTGTTGCAAAATAAGAGGTTATAGCCAAGTTACTAGCAGACACTGATCCAAATGTGACTCTTGCAGTAGTAAAATTCCTGTCTATGGCATTTAATAATATTACCTTTTAATGCGAAACTTTGTATTCTGATTATTTGCACTGTATATATTTATATTTACATATTTTGTTTGTTTTCTTATGACCTGTTGGTTTAATTGAGATTATTTAAACCGAGAAAAAAGACCAGGGTGGATTATTAATTTAAATTCTATTTCCTGTTTGAAATCCATATGTTTACTGCATACTAACTGGTTGCTATAATCTATATATATAATTCCCAAGAGTGTCCCCTATCTGCGGATAGTTAAATCCACAGATAGGGGGCACACTTGCCCAAAACAGATGTTTCAGCTAATTTGGGGAAATCCTACGTTTACAGAAAAATCTGACAGGGGGAAAAAAAACATTGGGGAGTTCAAACGCTCCCCAGAAAAAAAAAGTGTGTGCACACAAGCATACAGCACACTTACCTTTAACAGTCCTGGTCAGGCAAGCCACTGAAGGGGGGGGGTTGGTGGGTCATCCGGAGCAGTTGTGGCCAAGCCATAGAGAGCAGCGCGGGGAGAGAAGAGTCTGGGGTGAGGCGCAGAGAGTGTTGGGGGGAGCTCCAGGTCAGTCACAGAGAATGGCAGGGGGAGGGAAGAGTCTGCTGGCTTGCCCGGAGCTTCTCTGGGTGTGGCAGAGAGCAGTGGGGGGGGGTCTGCTGGCTCTTTTGGATCTGCTCCGAGAAAGCCACAGAGAGTGGTGGGGGGTGGGGAGACTGCTGGCTTACCTGGAGCAGCTCAGGGCAAGCCATGAAGGGTAGAAGACTCTGCTGGCTAACCCAAGCAAGCTGCCAAGAGTGGCTATGAAGAAGAAGAAGAGATTGGATTTATACCCTGCTCTTCACTACCCAAAGGTGTCTCAGAGCGGCTTACAAACTCCTTTCCCTTCCCCTCCCGACAACAGACACACTGTGAGGTAAGTGGGGTTGAGAGAGCTCTTGACAGACACTGCTCTTTTTCAAGAACAGCTCTTATCAGAACTATGGCTTGCCCAAGGTCATCCAGCCAGGTGCAAGTGGAGGAGTGGGGAATCAAACCCGGTTCTCCCAGATTAGAGTCCGCGCACTTAACCACTACACAAACTGAGGGGAACTGGGGAGGGACAGACAGAGAGAAAATGAGAGAGTGCTGGGGTAGGGGGGGCAGAAAGAGAGAAAATGAGAGTGATGGCATAGGGACAGAGAGAGTGATAGGCATGGGGGAGAGAATAAGAGATGGGGTGACAGGATGGCAAAAGAGTGAGAAGTTGAAAAGTAGGGGGAAATGGGAGGAAACAAAGGGGGGGGAATGCCTTCTCCCTGCATGTTTCTTGCAGGTCTCCAAAAGCTAAAATGTATTGATATGCTACTAGGTAGAACCTTTATACAGCCTAAAAGCATAATACAAAATTATGTAGTACTCCCATGTACTACAGAATTATATTTGCTTAGAGAAGACAGATTTATTTCTGTTCTCCTGCAAGAATACAGACAACATCACATGCTTTAAGGCTATAGTCCTGTGCACACTTACTTGTAAGTAAGTGCCATTGAATAAAGTAGGAGTTAGTTTCAAGATTCATGCATACGATCAGGGTGCAAGTATCCAGAACTTTCCAGACATGAGAGCTGGGAGTAATTGGGGAAAACACTGTTTCCCTATCAGATGGAAATTCTGTTCCATTTGGCTGGTAGAATCCTAAGCATTCACAATTTTGAGAATGGAATGCATTAGAGCTATTACATAGTATAAAATAGGAGTGTTGCATCTCTTGTAATCCTAGTGCCTCTAAGGATTTCCAGCATCCCAGGAAGCCTTCAATAACAAAAACCATGTCACACTCTGTATAGCCTTTGTAACTCCATCTTTGTTACAGGCTGGTGCTTGACCTTTAGTTCTGTGAAGGGACGGCCATCAGGTCGCTTCCAAGAAAATATTCTTCTCTTATGCTTGTTAGCAGCTCTTATCTTCAAAGCGTGATTTGTTTCCTCTCACCACTCAATGCCAGGTGTGAGATGACCTGGCTCATCTTAGTGTTTGAGATAGCTTGATTAATGATTTCTTGACTTAGAATCATAGAATGTTGGAGTTGGAAGGGACCTTGCAGGTCTAGTCCAACCTCCTGCACTCTGCAGGAGTATAGCCAAAAGATAGGCCTACAACATATCCGAAAGATGGTCGTCCAGCCTCCGCTTGAAAACGTCCAGTAAAGGAGCATCCACCACCTCCTGAGGCAGACTGTTCCACTGCTCAACCACTGCTCAACCACTCTTACAGTTAGGAAGTTTTTCCTGATATTTAGCCGGTAACGACTCCCTTGTAATTTCCACCCATTAGATCTAGTCTTGCAATCCGGAGCAAGAGAGAATAGATCTGCTCCATCTTCTACATGACAGCCCTTCAAATACTTGAAGACTGCAATCATGTCCCCTCTAAGCATTCTCTAAGCCAGTAATTAGGATATGTTTGGTTTTAACTATGCAAATTGTCTCGAGGTCTAGCTAAGTTTTGCTATATATGTGTGTGTGTGTGTGTGTATGTGTGTGTTCAAGACCCAGCGGATGGGAGCTTAGCCTGCTATTTCTGTAAGCTTGATCATTGCTTATTAAAATCTCCTTGTAAGAAAACCTGGATCTTCACATTCTGAATTATTTTCAATGTAACAGTGTAAATATTTAATGGGAAAAGTTACCTATGGTTGTATGTCATATTATTTTGTTTTTATGTTTGTATATATGTCAGAGATATATGTCAGAGATATAAAGACCTGTCATACAAGGATTTTTTCACAACTGACTACTGTGATATTTGAATTAAATTGATATTTCTCCCTCTTGGCTATTTCTTGTCCCAGTTATTGAAGAACTATAATACCTGGAGAGCTGAATGCCCAGAATTAAGTGCAGATCTACGGCCTTCCTCTGTTCTTGGTCTTCTGAATGCTGGTTACCATGCAGTTCTAAAAGAGAGGGATCCAGCAGGGAGTAAAGTTATAATTTATAGAATTGGTAAGTAGCTTTTGTTATAGATCAAAATGGGTAGCTGTGTTTGTCTGTAGCAGTAGAAAAGAGCAAGAGTCCAGTAGCACCTTAAAAGCTAAGAAAATATGTGGCAGGGTATGAGCTTTTGTGAGTCACTGCTAACTTCCTCAGTTGCTATAGGTTGAGCTGTTCACTTCTTCAGTTACACTCCTATTGTGGAATCATTGTGTTTTAGTCAATGTTTCAGGTATTCACCCTAAGAAATTTACATTATGACTGTTCACTTTTAAACATAAAATTAGCTACCAATCTAGTAATCCACAGATTATAAAAACTCTTTATGAACATATGCTGTTCACGTTCATTTCAGTATACAGTAAATCAAAGCAAAGTTCTACCTGCCTGAATCCATTAAAGTCTATGAGCTTAGAATGGTGTGATTATGGGGAATTTCACATTACCCTTTTAAAACTGTTATTGTACCGTCATGGACTAAACCGGTACAGGGACGGCCGTTTCACACAGCGTTTCCCTTCCGGTAAGGAGTCGTCTCTGAAGCGGTTTGTCATTTAAAACTGCGCCACTTTCTTTTCCCGCCATTTTCCCCCTGACAGGGTGGTTTTTAAAAAAACATTCTATTGTTAGCGCTATGGCACTGAATCAGGACTACAAATCAGCACCATAGCAACTCCATTGAGATGCCTAGACTCCATTTAGATACACTGATGTTTGCTACTGCTGTCCCCTAGAAACAAGGAACTCACTGGATACAGAATTCAAACGTGGGGGGGGGGACCAGACAATTTGAAACCCAGGTATTCTGGTGCTTTTTAATTCATCAAAGCCCAAACTAGTAAAGCTCCTCCTCCTCCTTTTTCATGTTGTCCTGGAACGTTTGTGCATATTGCTATTTTCGGTGATTTAATCTTTAAACAGACATGATAAATACAATGTCTGCTCCGAAGTTACCTTTTAAAATCCATGCTGAGATGCAGTAGCGAATATCAGTGTATTTAAATGGAGTCTCGATGGGGTTGCTATGGTGCTGATTTGTAGTCCTGCTGCCGCGCCGTAGCACTCCCAATAGAACATAAAAAAAAGGATGATCGCGCGTGGGGAGAAAAAGGGCACGGAAAGAGCTGTCATCGCAGGAAGCACTACAGGGGCATTTTACACAGCACCCCATAGTGCTTCAGAAGCGGCAGAAGGAATTAAAGACCAGTTGGAAGTAGTTTGTAGTAAAAATGCTTCAGCCATGCTTCTCGAATGGGACAGAAGCGTTTCTGTATGTAAGGGTAAATATATTCCATTCGGGGAACCATTACTAAAATGGTTCTGTCTGAAATGACAGACAGAAACCGTTAGTGAACAGTTCCTGAAACGGAATATATAGGCTGTCTGCAGGGGTCTTGTTGTAGAAAAAGAGCTGCCGGAGCTCATTAGCATAACTTATTTGCATATGCCACGCCCCCTGACATCACCGGAAGTGACAGAAGGCCACACCCCCTGACATCACCGGAAGTGTGTCAGAAGGCCCGGCTACTTACCCTCCTGCTTCATCCTCATTCCCAAACGGAATGAGGATCGAAGCAGAGGGCGGGGTAAAGAAGGGGGCGGGGCTTCACCACGTGACCGCCCCGCCCCCTAGAGGTTCTCTTCCGGAGCTCCGTACCTGAGAGCTCCCCCCCGACTAGAGCCCTGGCTGTCTGAAATTCCTAGGATTGCATGGTAAGAGTGTATATAGTGATTGCATTTGGTGAGGACACCAAGGTGCATCTTTGGCTATTTGTTGGGAAATTATAGACAAGGAGTCAAAACTTTCATTCCTCTTCTGTACTGTCATAGCCTTTCCAGGTGGAGTAAAGGCAAAGACTTTTATGATTCACAGTGAGGTGGCAGTAGCTGTTTGTGTACTGTTGGGGGCGGGAAACCCTATTCTCCTATTTGAAGACTAAGAAACAGTTACTGCTTGAAACAGAGGTCCTTCATTAAGATAAATCAGCCAGGCTATCTGGAACAAATAAGCAATGCTAGTAGATAAGTGTATGACATTAGCCAAAGATGATGTGTAGGGCTTTGGGATAGGATTGATTATAAAATACTTAAATGGCTGGCTGGCATGAAATATTTGTTCTGACAATTTAGAATAAGTTTGTGAAAGATAAAGTAATGTATTTAATATGAACGTGATTTTGAGATATATGAGGTTTTAAAGAAATAATTTATCTTCCATACTACTGTTTTATTGTGCACTTTATCCTCATAGCCAGTTCATATCCCAGGTAAGCTAAGCAACTAGGGTTTTTCCCTCACAGTTCATTCCTATTGCCATCAGTGGGGATGTGTGTTTATTTTACACATGCCTCTTCTTTTTGTTGTTTAGCACAATGGGACCCAAAAATGTTTACAGCATTTGATGTGTTTCGTGTAAGTCTTATCACATCTGAACTTATTGTGAGGGAAGTAGAGACACAACGGAATGGAGTCAAAGTTATCTTTGACCTCCAAGGATGGAGATTTGCTCATGCATTCCAGATCTCTCCAGGGGTGGCCAAGAGGATCGCTGCTGTGCTCACAGTGAGTTTGAATGCTTGGAAAAAAGCACTTACACACATTTTTGCAGAATGAAAGAGAAGCAGATGAATCCCAGGCTTTCAGTGACATTTGAATGGTGTTATTCTAGATGGGATTGGCAGGGAAATCAACACAAGGCAGAATAGCAGGTGGTGGTGGTGGTGGTGGTGGTGGTGGTGGTTGTTGTTGTTATTATTTTACTTAGGTCTTTTCTCCCCAATCAGACAACAACATTCTCCCCTTCTCAATTTCATCTCCACAGCAACAACCCTGTGATGTTAGCTCTGTTGAGTGAATATGGCTAGCGCAAGTCATCTAGTGAACCTCCATGGCAGAGCAGGGATTCAAACCTGGGTCTCCCAGAACCTAGCTCAACACTATCAGCAGTATACCACTATAACAATTTCGCCCTCCCTTGCAGGATTTCCATTTATCTTCTTTTTGGCTAAAAAGACCCTTTTTCCTTTTTTTTCACCCCTCCCCCTGGCTGTTCTACCGAATCCAGCCTAGGGAATTTAGGGGAAAGACTAAAATCCTTATGTCCTGTTTTGAAATTGATGCACAAGAGGCTGAAGGTAAATCAAAACTAACAACTGTTTTATTTAACTTTGAGGAGAAATGGTCAGGTGGAATCAGGTGTAGGACTTATGAGCAGACAACAGGAATGAGATAACTTTGTATACAAATAAACACAAGATAATTTGTTACTAACAAGTAACTTTCTATTATTCAGACAGGTCTTTAAAACTTGAGGAGAGAGATTTCTTGCCACTCTCTGCTTAAATACACAAGCATAAGCTTCTTTGTCTCACAGACACTTAAGTTGGTGAAAGCAGGACCATTCAAACAAGTTCCAGTTTCCTTCCTTATCCGCAGGCTCTGAATCACCCCCATATTTTAGGAGATATTTCCCTCATACTTGTTAGGAATGGGCTAAGCTTCGCACTTCTCTAACTCAGGATCCTTCTTGATCCTCTCCTTCAGACTGGATAGGGATCACCCCCCCTTTTTTCTAGGAGATATTTCCCTCAGGCTTGAATGGGGATCCTTCTTTATCCCTTCACTCCCTTAGTCTTCCTTTCCAGTCAACTGTCAGTTCTTAACTGCTGCTCTCAACTACCACTCCTAACTGACTCTCTCAACTGAAGAATTCCATTTAAATCCCCTCTCACTCAACCGGGTTCTCAGACTAGTTTACACCATTAACCATTTACTGCCCATCACAACTACATTGACTCTCATTGCTGGTATCATTGTTGAGTATACTACCTTTTTGAAGCCAACCTATGTGAATGTGGTCATCAGAATTATGAGCCTCTGTTCTTTTACTATGCTTAATCTGTTTGTCTTGTTTTGTTTTTTCTTGGCAGGATTCCTTTCCGCTAAAGGTTCGTGGCATCCACTTGATTAATGAGCCTTTATTCTTCCACCCAGTCTTCGCTCTAATTAAGCCTTTTCTTTCTGAAAAAATCAAGGCACGGGTGAGTGAATGCAAATATTTATTCTGTAAAATTCTTATGTTATTATCTTAACTTTTCCCTCATTTCTAGACAAGAAAGGACACCCCATACTTTTCTAATGATGTCTATGCATTGGATCTGAAAGTCATTTTCTTCCAACCTGAGTCAGTCTCAACCACCAGTGGAAAACTGAGGCAGTTTTTGCCAATTCCTGAAATGCTGCTGCTGGAGAACAGGGGACTCTCAGGAACAGCATGATTAATGAAGTAGGATCTGTAATTGGCGGAGGACTGGCAAAAACCTCTCCTTGTACTGATGGAAAATGACTTTCAGATCCAAACCCCTAAGCTTTGTATTTTCGTGAAGGTGGATTTGGATACAAGTTCACAATTATTTTATCAATCAAATTTGTATTCTGTCCTTCCTCTAAATAGCACATGGTAGTGTACGTGGTTCTCCCCCATCTCTGTTTTATCCTAACATACTTGTAATATAAGTTGGGCTGCAAGAATGATGGGCCCAAGGTCATCCAGTTAATTTCATGACTGAGTGGGTATTTGAACCTTTGTCTTGGTGGTCATAATCTGACACACTAACAACTACACCATCCAGAGGCGAACCTAGCCTATTTGGTGTCCAGGGTGGATAATTTTTTAACATCCCCCTCCTCTCTTCCCCCCTCCCAACAACTCAGAGCTGACTTATGGTGATCCTGTAGAGTTTTCAAGGCAAGAGACATTCAGAGGTGGTTTGCCATGGCCTGCTTCCACATCGGCCCTGCTTAGCTTCTGAGATCTGATGAGATCAGGCTATCCTGGGGCCATCCAGGTCAGGGCTAGGCTGAAAGTAATGTGACTGGCCCAAGGTCATCCAGCAAGCTTCCATGGCATGAGTGGGGATTTGAACCTGTATTTCCCAGATCCTAGTCCAACACTTTGAGCACTACATCATGCTGGTTCTCGTGATGGAACAGCATGTTGGGATTTGATTTTTTTTTTTAATTACTGGCATAATTACATATACGAAGTTAAATAAAAGAACATTTTCACTGTCTTTGTTTCTTTTCTGGCCACTGAAACAAAGTTTGGGTCCAGTGGCACCTTTAAGACCAAACTTTGTTCTGCTGCTTCAGACCAACACAGCTACCCACCTAAATCTGGCCATTATTATTATTTGTTTTATTTCATGATTATTCCTGAAAGTAATTTTGTTGTATAGAGGAGGGGCCCTGAGCTGGATAGCCCCAGTCGAGCCTGATCTCATCAGATCTCAGAAGCTAAGCAGGGCTGATGTGGAGGCAGGCAATGGCAATCCACTTCTGAACGTCTCTTGCCTTGAAAACTCTACAGGATCACCAGAAGTCAGCTGTGACTTGGTTGCAAAAAACAACAACAACACCATCACACCACTCATGTTCTGAGCAGACAGTTAGGAGGGTTTCTGTTCTCAATTTTTAAGCCCAAGAGCTGAGTGTCTTGAACATCTACAAGGCATTTTTGAGAGCTAGGAGTCTGCCTTTGTACTTATTTTTTACTAACTAACACTAACCAAAGCATCACAAAATAGTGACCACAAGTTTCAGCAGACTAGATGTTAAGAAACACACTGCCCCCTCCAAAGAAGGTGCTCCCATCCTCCATTGTTACCAAAGGACTAAAGGCAAACCAGAGAATCTCTGCAGTAGAAACTGAAGGCGGGGGGGGGGGGCATTTTTGCAATCACAGCAGAAACAGTGCAATGTACAGAGTACCCAGCACAGTACCAGTGCAATCACAAAGTGCCCAGCAGAACCCAGTGCCATTGTGGCAATGCCAGCTGATGTCAAGCACAGAATCGCAGTCCAGGGTGTGTATGTGTGGAAGCCCAGCAAAACCAGTGCAATGTACAGTGCCCAGCAACAAAGCTTTGCTACTATACTACTCTCAAATACATTCTGTCACCAAGCAGAACAGGGACTAGATAGGGTTACCATATTTTGAAAAGCAAAAAAAGAGGACATATTTCCCAGCTGACTACTTCAAACAACTGATAACTGTGACAAGAAGAGGACATTTTCATCTGTTGGGGGGGGGGGTTGGCCCCCTGGAGGGGATTTTTTATTGCATTTTTTAATAAACTACAAACTACAACGGAAAAATAGGAAGGGGGAACTACATCTAGGGAGAAAGGAAAGAAAACCACTAATAACTAAAACCCCAAGAATAGGAGATCATAACAACAGTTTATATAAGTATTAATCTTAAATTGCTAGTATTACTTTGAACATAGTTGGTTATGCTAAATTATTTATCTTTTTATCCATTAATTTAACTGTTTAAAGAGAAATGCAAGAGCATCATCCATTATAAAAACAGAATTTTAAGGCACAATTCAGAGTCCTTCAGCCTTCACTTTGTTTTATCTTTTCTATTCCTCAATTGATATGCACGTATGGGTGCAGCTGCTCCCTTATCAGAAATAGAGTCCCCATCGGAAGACCCCGAGTCCAATTCGCCACTGGATTTGCTGTCATCTTCTTCCTTGGCATCCTCGGCTTTCTCTCCCAGCTGCACTCTCAGGAACTCACGTGCTTTAAAGACAGAGTCAATCTTTTCTTTTTTATCATGTAGTTTAAAACTGACGCCTTCTGGAATTTGCCATCTGTAGGCAATGCTATTTGTTTGTAGAAAAAAGATTAAGTCTATGTATTTCTTCCTCTTTTGCCTTATTTCATATGGGATGTCTTTTAAAACCCTGATAATGTTGTCCCCGATTTTTAAGGGTGTCCCTGTAGTTGCTTTCAGGATTAAATCCCTCACGTGCCTCTTCGAGAATCTGACCACTATCTCCCCAGGCAGATTATTCTTCTTGATGTACACGGAATAAACTCTGTAGACCACATCCATTTCGTTTACAAGATATTCCACTTTCAAATCCGTAACTGGGGCTAATGCTTCACTCAAGAGTTGCTTTACATTCTCGTCTTTTAATTCCTTGGAACAGGAGGACAAAATTTGCTTTCTCCATTTGCAGCTGTAAAATTCTTCCGAAGCTTGCTTCTTTTCCAGCTTTTGCACCTTTTTCTTAACTTTTTTAGTGTTGGCGTCTATTTCTGTCACCTTCTCAGCTGTTTGCTCTGTCATTTTTAAAGTCTCAGTCAGTTGGAGCTGCTGTCAGATTCTGATTTAGAGTTGTCAGCTGCTGTTTAATGTTAGTCATCTGGTCCAGCAGAGGGCGCAAGGAATCTGCCAACATTTTGGAGAACTCAGTGCCCTCTTCCAGTCGGGGCTCGTGTTCCCCACTGCTTTCACTTTTGCTAGTTTGTCTCTCTCCGTCTTCTTCCCCGCCATGTCTGTAGATTGTTTACTTGTATAAAAACTAAAGTCTCTGAATTTCGCCTATGTGCCTATCAATGCTCTGGTAAGTCTCTCAAAACAGATTTCAACACTTTTTCTTCCACTCCCCCCCTTTATAGATCGTTTTTTAGTTCCTGCAGACATGTCCTGTTAGCTGACTTGAGCCAGTGTGTCCAGCAAGGTGGGATACAAATAGAAACAATAAATAAATACATAAATAAATAAAAAGAGGACATCTGGTAACTCTAGATGAGAAGGCCTTGAGACCAAGAAGTGACAATAATGGGGGGGGGGAGGACACAGAAAAACTAGGTGAAGGAGGACAGAAATAAATGAGAAACATGTGGAAAAGAGGGAAAGAAATCAAGAGATGGAAAGGTTGTTTTATCTTGCTGCAGCATCCTAACTACTGCATTGCAAGATCTGGCTGAGCCGGGTGCAAGGAAAGGAAGTGAGAAAGGCTGAATTATTGGAGAAAATGAGCTTTAGGCTGGCAATCAGTTGTTGTTAAGTAAGTTTGCTTCAGTGTTGGAGAAAGCCAGGAAGTGTAGCCAACCCTAGCATGCTGTTTGCTGTAGTCAGACTTCCTTGCACCCCTAGAGGCTGCAACTAGAACTGCATTTTAAAAAATAAAAGGTAAGACCTTTAGCAGGATGCTGAATGACACTGGCTTCGAGGGCACCCTTCAAAGGTCTTCCTCAAGCTGCACCGGGGGCAGACTACTCCCTGCCCCCCTTAATATGCCACTTATGGTAGAAAGACATGCATTCTAGAGGACAGTATACAACTAATGTGCTGACTTGTAACTCAGCCTGACAAGGTTTTTAAGTATTATCTGGAACCACAGTGATGAAAGAGAAATGACTTTTAAGATACATGTATTTTCATGAATAATATCACTTTCTAGGAGCAGCTTGCAAGGGATATCAGCAAAAATGTCTTTATCTAAAGAGGAACCTTCTGTAGGGAACTGTATCTGGAAAACTAGCACAGCAGGAGATAAAATTCTACCCTTCTCTCTCTCTCTTTTTTTTTTTGGGCCCCCCGAAGGGGATTTTTTTTGTTGCATTTTCTAAAACTAAACACTACATGAAAAAATAGGAAAGGGACTACATACTATAGAGTAAAGTAAAGAAACCTCTAAAAACCCAAGAATGGGTGTCATACAAACTGCTTTAACAAGATTACAACCTTATATAGCTAAATATTCATATAAATTCTACCCTTCTCCTTTGCGTTCCCTATTGGTTTTGACTGCAGGCATTCCAAAATGTGATCCTCCATGATAACGCCACCTGCAGTGCGAAGTACTAAACTTTATTGTAACATCCCTCAGGTCTCTGCCACCTTCATCCCCTTCACATGTAAACCAGACATAAGATATATTCCTGTATTTGTAATACACTGATGGGTTTTAGCATAAATAGTTAGCTTCATAGAAGTAATCATACTTTGATTCTAAACACTTGAACAATCCCACTCGTTTCAACTAAACTTGCAATAGTCCTTGCAAAGCCCCTGTTCTCCATGAAGGGATGCAACCCAGATTTAAATGGTGTAAGACATTTCTCACAACTGCTCCAAACTCAGCCACAAGGAGCTGGACTGTAAACTCCTTCCATGAAGAATGCGATCCCATCCATTGCAGCAAAATCTCCTGTCCTGCAAGTTTGATTCCCTCCTGCACAACTCTCTCCTTATCTCCAAGTCTGACAATAACATACTGTGCCCAGTTTGGTGTAGTGGTTACATGTGCAGACTCTAGGAGAACCGGGTTTGATTCCCCACTCCTCCACTTGCAGCTGCTGGATGACCTTGGGCAAGCCATAGTTCTGCCAGAGCTGTTCTTGAAAAAGAGCAGTTTCTGTCAGAGCTCTCTCAGCCCCACCTACCTTACAGGGTGTCTGTTGTGGGGAGGGGAAAGGAAATGAGTTTGTAAGCTGCTCTGAGACTCCAAGTGAAGGGTGGGGTATAAATCCAATCTCTCTTCTTTTTGTCTTCTACCCAGCTAAAGATTTTAAATTATTTAACTTAAAGAGGGTAAGGTTTACCTACAGATGTTCAGGGACAATGTGATTCTAACACATGGTTCTGTGGCTATCATATCTAGTTTTCCCTTTAAATTTAGCACTATTTTGCCATTTATAATAGGGCTGCCTGCAAAATGTTTTAGTGAATTTGAGTGTATACTTTGGTTTTCACATCTGACACTTGACTTTAACTGCGTCCATTGCACAATGTAGGCTGCGGTCACACACAACATTAGCCACGCAAGAGATACGGAGGACAGGCGGAGTTTCCGGGCGCGATCTCACCAGCACATCTGGGAAGCGTAGCGCTTCCGTGGCACAACCGAGGCTTCCTGCCGAAAACGCGCAGCAAAAAACTAGTACCTTGGAGGTACTAGTTTCCGGAAACTGCGGGGCAAGGGCGGGCGTCTGATCGCGTTTCCGGTGGCATCCGGCGCCCGCCCATGACCCCTTGCGGAAAAGGTTTTGTTTTCCCCCAAGTCTCCGTGGTTGCGCACACGCACCCAACGGAGCATGCGCATTCGTAGTGTACACAAAAAAAGAAAACCAGTTCGCCGCGCCGCGCGCTTCTTCATTGCGCGCAGGCGTGTGATGTGATCGACACCTCTCCCTAACCACGGAAGCTCCACGGTACCTCTACAGAACCTCCACAGGAGGTCTGATCGCTTAACTGCGTGTTAGTTTGCCCCGGGGCAAACAGCCACGCTTCCCCACCGCAGTTTCCTGCCCGTGTGACCGGGGCCGTAGAAACACATTTTGACATGCAGAACAAACTGTGCAAAAAAAAAAAAGGTAAACATTTCTTCTCATGGCAGGTCCACATGCATGGGAGTAACTATTTACAGACTCTCCAACAACACTTTCCCAGGATTCTCCCAGGCGAATATGGTGGTGAGGCAGCCTCCGTGGAAGAGCTCTTTCAGGAGTGGACTGACTTTGTAACCGAATCTGCAGGTTATCTTCAGAGCATTTCTCAGTGTCCGTAGAAGCCAACCAGTTCTGGAGGGAACACAGTAATTTGATATTAACCTAAGAAAATGGGATAATAATTGTTAATTGTTCTGCATTACTGGACCTGATCTAAAGTTTAAGGTAGTTTCTGGCTGATAAAAATGTGACTTGGTACAGATTCTACAAAAATTAGTGAAGCCAAAAAACAGTACACTCAGCAGCCAAATTTGAAACTAGTTTTGGACCACTATCAGACGTTTTGAGATCAGAATAATCTTGCTAGAGAAGAAGTGCCCTGCATTCTTATCTTAATGTGAAGAAGAGTACAAGTAAATCTATATATTGCAGCTAGTGGGCACGTATATTTTTACAGAAGTCTCTAAGCAACTTGTAAAAGATCAATTATAACACCTACCAACATGTAGGCTAAAAACTGCCCATGCTGGATCAGTCCAAAGGCCCATCTAACAGTGGCCACTTGAAAGCTTACATGCACAGCAGGACACAGAGAGCCATTACCTGTTGTTGCTTGCCCTTAGTACCCACTGTATTTCGAATATACTGCCTTTGAATATGAAGGTTGTATTTCTTTCTCATGACTGATAGCCACTGATAAATCTATACTCCATGAAATTGTCTGATCCTTTTAAAAGCAATCTAGGCTATAGATCAGAAGTTCCCAAACTTATTTGGCCTACCACCCCCTTTTCAGAAAAAAAAATTACTTAATGCCCACCTGGAAATCTACCTTCAAGAAGTGGACAAAAAGATGCCGTGACAAAAAGAAAGATGTTGTAAGTAAAGAAAGATGTTGTTGGCCTGAAGCCAGAGGCCAGCAGCAGCCACCACACAATAGCCTAGCAGCGACACCACCCTTACAAGGGTGCACATGTATTTTGCAATTTGCAAATGCATGGCTGTGATTGGCTGTGGGGACCCCTCTCCACCTCCCTCCCTGATCCCAGGGAAGGCCAGGAGAAGGCAGGAAAAGGCTGATTTAGATAGGTTCTGGACTCTTCTTTATTTATGCTTCCACCACCCCCTTATTTTTATTCAATGCCCCTCAATTGCACCCAAGGCTCCTACTGTCCACCTGGATCATTCCAGCCCCCCCCCCCCCAGTGGGTGGTATTGCCCACTTTGGGAACCAGTGCTATGGATGATCTTAGTAACAAAGTCATTATGTGCCTTATATGCAGAACTTTCATTTATCAGTCCTGAACTTACTGGATCAATGAGGAGTACTGGAAAGCAATTAAACTTTGTCTAAGGTAATATCTAGTAATTTAGTGATCATACAGTTAATTATTGTTTCATGGTGTGGGTTGACAATGGACTAACAGAAACTGCAAAAAATATTGCAATTGCAGAGCAATAATTTGTCTTGGAACTGTGCTTTTATGTTTATGTTTCTAAATATATTCTTATACTTACTAGTTGCTGCAGGAAGATTACCTGCACTTGAAATGATTCTCAGGAATACTGAAATGATTCTCAAGTTAGTTAGGCTTGTTTGCTTTGGGCAGGATGGTTTAGCAGTAGTGAGACCCTTGTCGCAGTTAAATGTTTGGGCTACAAAGCTGCTAATGCTGCCTTAACAAGGGACACAACATAAGGTTTATGAAAACAATGTGAATCTGAAAGAAGAACAGGGCTCAGGAACAATACTGATTTTAAAAGGTGGTGATGCCTTCTCTAAACACATGTTCTTCTTAGACACTATTCAGGAAATATTCAGTAAGATGCTTTGTCTGCACTTTATAACTACTCATTCCAGAGCAGTCGTGGGATAATCTAATACACCGACTAAGTCAATACTTCTACATTGTAGTTTTTGTTAGTGCTAGTAACTTCAATTATATGCATCTCAGACCTTGTACAAGTTAATAAGTCATGCCAATACAACATCACAGAACATGTAATTCTGATATTTCAGTGATGTTATTATGATGCCATAGACAGATATAGATACACATGATTACAATCAGGATTCAGGACCATGGAGATTTGGAACTCCTGTGCAGTGAGTGAATTTAAGAATTGTATTTAGTTTGTACTAGTATGTGCAATAATTAACATTGCTTACTATCCTAGGGGGCTGAAAGTTTCCATAAACATATGAAGCTGCCTTATACGGAGTAAGGCAATCAGGCTCTCTCCCCAAGACTGTCTTCTCCAACTGGCAGCAGCTGTGCAGAAACGTCATGAGAACTTTCTGTACACAAAACATGTTCTCAACCACTGCAGCTCCCCTTTTCTTTAAGCATCGGTTTCTCTGGAATTAATTCTAGGCCCCCTAGACCAATGGGCCTGGCCTAAAAGGCACAGCCACGCACCGGGCAGTTTCTTTTCTTTCCATCTTTATTTAAAAATAAGTTAGTTTTGCATAAATATATATATATA